AGAGCCTTAGACACAGCCTTACCACTCTCAGGACTGTCTCTTTATAAAGATACCTAATTCAGATAGCAAAAAAACACTGGGGTCAACAATCTCAGCAGATAGTCTTATCTCCATTTTGTGGATGAGAAAACTGAGGTCTGGGAGACAATGCTCTGAAGTCTCTTCTGTCACAGGAATACAGGGTTCTCCCAGGCATGTCTGTTCACCCATAAGAATACAGGGCACAGTGTGTGTGTCAGCCCAGGAAACCTAGTATTTACTCAGAGACAAGCCCATAGCCCCCACAGACAGTCTGTGCCAGGCCCCGAGGTGCCCTCTGCACTGTAGCGCACCTAGCCAGCCAGGACAGCCCAGCTTCCTCCCTGGTCCTGGATTCCCAGGCTGTGTCCCTCCCCTTGCCTTCTCTGGCATCACCCCCACGCCCCCATTTTTGCATACAGGCAAACAGAAGGTTGAGAGTGGTGGCTGTCCCTGTAGCTGGGGTGTCCCAGGGAGTGTCCACAGGTCCTCTGAGTAGGCAAGAAGGGAACAGATCATCACGAGGTCACTTGCTTGGGACCTGGCCTACAAGCCTTGACCTCCTGATATTTTCTCGTTTGAGCACCTGTCACCTCTGTATTGTAGGACCGGGGCAGGAGGCCAAGGAGGGTGGGTGAGGAGTGGCTGGGAAAGAAGACAGTCGCTGGGCTTACTGACTGTCTAACTGGGTTACATTAGGAGGCTAGTTGCACAGTCTGCATAACCTGAGATGTTTGAGTGGCACACATCTCCTGTGCCAGGGCTGCCCAGGGATCAACAGGCTGCTCAAGGCCCACGAGCCACCAACTGGCATGGCCACCAGCCTGATCTGCTAGGGGAACACGCTGGACCCTCAGGCCTTCAGGAGCAGGCTACGTGGGCTCTAGGTGTTCCACCCCACACCTCTCTTTCCCAGTGCCTTCTCCCTGCTCCGTGATCCTGTTCTGGCTGCCCATTAACATCACCTGAGGGCCCTTAAAAATACAGATCCCTAAGCCCACCCCCAGGCCATTTAAACCACGGTCCCTGAGGACTGTTTTTATTCTGTTTTTAAGTGCCTAGATGACTCAAAGGTCATCTACCAGAACTGAGAAGCCCCGCTATGACTAGTTGTGGAGGAAAAATTACCCCAAACTTCCAGGCCTGACACCCAGCTGTGGGCAGAGCTTAGGAGGAATTGTTCTACCTGACAGATTAGGCATGTGTTCATTGCAAAAAAAATTCAGGAAACCAAGACAAGTACCCAGAAAACATGATACACTGGGAGACTTTCCCAAGGCAGGGATGAGGAAGGAGTCCCAGTAAGAGCCCCATCTAGTTGATAGCTCCCTGCTTTTATACTGAGGTAGGAAGCAGAGTGGCTAGCCCACTTCACACCCGAGCAGTGGGCCAGGCAGGTCACCAGCAACACCTCACCTGGCTAGAGGAGTGGCGGGGGATGGTGCCTCCTGGCACCACTCATTCATCTCATTTCTTGGTGCCTTCCTGGCCCCTGATATGTCTAACTGGCGTGGGTGCTCCTGCAGGGCAGGGCCAGACTTCCCCCACCACTGAGACGCAAGACAGCAGCACCTTCTGGTTCTCAGGAGCCTAGGCCTGTTCTCTGGGCCGTCATCAGGCTCGGATCCCACACGGCCCATTAGAGTGATGGCCCCGCAGGCGCAGGGCAAGCTCCATCTCCGGCCTTGGAGGTTCCCAAGGCGCACGCGGGGAGTCGCTCTCCGACCATGCGCGCCCCCTAGGCCGGGGACCGTGTCACTGCTCTTCCGGATGCCTGCAGGAGGGGGGGGGGGGGGCNGGGGGGGGGTCAGGAGGAGGGGACCCACGCGAGCCCAAGCCTGCTCTCCTCAAGGGCGTGGGACCGGACATGTCCAGACCGTGGGACGTGGGACCCAGAGTCAGGCCGCCCCATCCTGAGTGTAGGTCCTGGGCACTCCCCGGAGGGGCGCACCACCACCCCCGCCGCGGCACTTGGTCCACAGGAGAGGTGACATCGTGCATCTGTGTGGGAGGGACTCAGGTGAGGCCTGGGGCCCCAGGACAAGGAGCGGGGAACCAGAGAGCAGGTAACCCAGGGGCGGGGCCTGGAGCGGGGCTGGCATCCATTGCCGCCTTCCCCGCCCACTGCGCCTAAGTCAACATGAACGGCAGAGCTGGCTAGCTGGGCCTTCCGAGATAAGCCCGGGGAGTGGGGCGGGAGCACAGCGTACCGCTGAGAACCCTCGGACCCTGCGGGGCGAGCGCGGAGGCAGTCAAGGCCAGAACGGTGCTGGCCAAGGCAATCCAGGCTCCGTGCCCTTCAGGGTCCAAGCCCGGATGCGTGGGAGGGTGGCCAAGCAGGAAGAGCAGGTGGCGGAGCCCCCTCCTTGTTCTGAGTAGGAGGGAGAGAGAGGCCGGTACCGCCGCCTCCTTGTAGCATACTAGCTGCCTGGGAGCACGGCTCAGGGCCTCGATGTCCTCTCTGTGTGTCAAGGGCCTGATCCCATGGAGCGTGTCCACACCAGACACAAAACGGGGCTGCTCATCAGGGCCCCAGGCCAGGCCCTGGGCCCACTGCCATCTCGCTGGGCTCACAGGTTACAGGGGAGGCTGTTCTGCACTAGGGCAGTTAGGCCCACCCAAGTTCTTCTGGGTCCCAGAGACCCCGGATTTCTAAGGAGAGGGGTCTTGGAGAGGTCCTTGTGCCTCCCCCCACAGCTGCTGAGGCTGCATGGTGCCGGTGGGGTGTCCTGCCCCACCTACAACAGGCATGGAAGGGAGGGGTCATTTTGGTTGAGTCCAGAATGTGGAAAAGGAACCACATTCTCTCAAGGGGAGAGGCCTATAAGCAAAAGAAACAAGTGCAAAGATCCAGAGACTAGAAGTTGGCATCTTGAGACAGGAATTCTGTAGAAGAACATAGAACTGGGGAGAGAGATAGGAGATGCAGCCAGATGGACGGCAACTGGAGATATTATTTTAGGGATGCCAGTGGAAGATCTGAAGCAGGGGAGTGGCATGATCTGATTTATGGCTGAACAATCTCTCTGGCTATGGTGGGGAGATGGACATAGGGGCCAGAGAGCTCATGGTACCAACTAGTGTGAGAGGCTGCCTCCCAGAGCGGGCTGGCCAGGCTCAGGAGCCCAGATGAACCAACCACTGGCCAGCCTGGTGGGTGTGAGGGAAGAAGAGGAACTTGGGATGGCGCTCAGCTTTGGGGCCTGGAGCAACCAGCTAGACGTTTCTGCCTTTTTCAGAGGCTGTGAGGAGGCAGATTTGAACAAAGCCTGACGTGGATGTCAAGCGTGAAGGCAGACATGTCAGGGGAAACGTGACCAGAGGAAGGAGATGGATGGAGGCTGAGGGGGGGTCAGGAAGAGTGGGAGTTCGGGTCAGAAGGGACACTGGTGTTTCCATGGTGTTTAAAGCCTGGGGACTGGAACTTGGGAAGGAAATAGGCGACGAGAGCGAAGGCCTGAGCTTTGTGCCTGCTGACACTGAAAGGCTCTAAAGGAGACTGTGGAGTAGCCAGAGCAGTGGGGAAAAAGCTTGGGCTGGGGGCAGATTCAAGGGGAAGGAGGGGTCAGCAAGTCTCTGGTTGTAGGGGGTGGTGGTAAGGTGAAGACAGGGAGTCAACCCCCGGCTTTCGGACTCTGGCACCTAGGAAAGAAACATTTCTAGGGAATGAGGAACAAAGATCAACCAGAATGAGCGGAGAAGTTAAGATGAGACAGGGAGAAGTAAGTGCACAGCACTTTGCTGAATATTGGACAAAAGGAGCCGGGACAGGTGCTCAGGTAGGCAGAGCCAAACTCACACATGCATGCACTGCGCATGCGCAGGTCCCAAAAGGGAACAGAGGCTCAAAAAGGCATTCTCTACACACGAGGTCAGACACGCACAGGTGTTGGCCAAGCGCCCTGTGACACAGGCCTCCGTTCATACACAGGGACCCAGTAACTCTATCTGCTAAACAGTCACGCACTGGCGGTACGTCCTCCCAGGCACAGTTGGACCTAGATTTCCTGGAGTCGCCCCAGCCTGTGACAGGGGGCAGTGGCAATGAGCACTGAATATGGAGAAAGGGTCTTGGGGTCAGTGGCAGCTTTCAGCAGTGTTTCTGCATTGGAAAGGGAGTCCACACCGGCTGCGCTGTGGCTGGGGCAGAGGCCGTGGTGACCCTGGAGTTTCTGGAAGGCTCTGTCTCCAGCTCCTCCCGCATCCCACAATCAGAAAGGGAAGAAAGGGGCAACGGAGATGTGGAAGAGGTATCTTTCCTGGCAAGGGCTGGACTGGCCTCTCCCACGATGGGTATCAAGGCTCCCTGGGGAGGGCTGTGCTGGGCAGTGAGCCCAACTTAGGCCGTGGAGGACAGCAGAGATGCCCCCTTCCCCCCACTTCTGAAGTGACCTGGGTCTCACAAAGCCAGACTGCCAACCCACCCCGCAATAAATAGCCTTGGTCCTGCTTCTTTCTAAAGTTTCCTGGGGTGGCCTGGCCTACTGGAGGTCAGGGATCAGGGGCTGTCAGAAGGGAAGTCTCGGTGGCTTCCACAGCCCACATCTCAGCACAGCCCGGGCCTCCATCCCCAGCTTTCTCTGGCTACCAGTCCAGCCGTGGCCCTGGGGACAGGGCTGGCTCCTCTCAGAGAGCTGGGTCAATATTTGTTGACTGACTAACTGACTGACTCAGGGTGAATGCCCGCGCCTGCCAAGTGCTGAGGTATGTTCTGCTGGGCCAGGCGGGGATAGGGGTTGAGTTACAGTGGCCATGGGCAGAGCCGGGCCCCATGCCAGGCCCAGCACTGCCCATAGGCAGGGTGAAGGCAGGAGCCGTTTCCAGCAGGTAGGCTGGGCGGGGAGGAGACTCCCGGGGCCAGGGTGGGAGGGCTGCTCCGAATCAGGAGCATACCACGTGGGGTCACTGGGCCCAGGGTTGCCCAGGGGCCCTGCAGAGCTGGGGAGGCTGGAGCCGGCCAGCAGGTGAGAACACTGGGGGGCCAGGGAGGCCACACTCAGAGCAGCTCTGGGTGGAGCGGGGTTGGGAGGGGGGCAGAAAGTGGCAGATTTTCTACAGGATGGGGGTGTCTGTCTCCCAGAGCCCATACCCTGGGGGCCCCGGGCCCTCCCCGCTCCTCCCATTCCAGCAGGCAGCGCCCCTCCTCGCTTCCTGCAAGTCAGGCAAAGTGACCGCGGAGTCCGCCCCTTCACAGGTATCTCAGGAGGAGGAAGTTACACACCCCGGGGAGAGAAGGGGCACCAGAGGAGGGAGGAGGCTCGGGTAAAGACGGGGCGGGGGACCCCGGGGAGGAAGGGGGCCCCGGGGAGAGAAGGGGGCAGCTGAACGGGAGGAGAACCCAGGGCAGAGGAAAAGAGGCTAGGGGAGAGAGGGTTCACTGGGGGAGGAAAGGGGTGGGAGGGGGGCACCAGGGGACAGGTAGGGGTGTCTGGAGGAAGAAGCATGCACAGAGGGGGGGGAGTCAAGAGAGAAGGGGGCGCGGGGGAGAGAGGGTGCGTGGGGGACGGTGGGGGCACCCAGGGAACGAGGGGGCACCAGGAGAGAAGAGCAAGTCAGAGGAGGAACTGGGCATCTGAGAGAGGAAGCGGGCCGTGCCGGGACAGTGAGCCCCCAGCGACGAGAAAGGGCTTCCTGCAGGAGAGGACACCGCGTGGGGGGGTGTGTCCCCACTCAGGGTGGGTGATGGAAGGGGAAGAAGGGACATGCTTGGGTGCGAGTGCCTGTGGGTCAGAAGGAGCATGCTAGGGAGGAAGGGACCGCCTGGGGGAAGGAGAAGAGGGTGCTGGGGGGAGAGGGCCCCCACCCTTTGAGCACCCCTTCTCCACCCCCCAGCACCCACGTGGAAGACAGGTGACACAGGATGAGGCCTCACGCCCCGGGAGCCTGAGAGTGTGACTCCCCAGGCTAGCACTGGATATCAGGGCACCCTGCGAGCCCCTTGGGGGTGATGCGGTCCCCATCCAGTGAAAGCAGCCCGGTCACAACTTCCTGGCCACGGTCTGACTTCCCTGCCCACAGGGAGCCCTGGTGGCCCCTCTGCTGAGCCAGCCAGGCGTCCTGTGCCTCTGTCACCGCTTCGCAGTTACAGCTCCTGGTCTGTGCCTCTCATCACTGCCCGCCTGTGCCCTGGTTGCTGTCGGCAGTCACTGCTTCTGCCCGTCACTCATGACACGGCCGCAGCAGTTCTGGGTGCAGTCAGAGCGCACGGTGACTCCATCCACTTTCCCCTCCGCAGTCATGGGCTGATGGGCCTTCAGGGTGTCAGGCAGTGGGAGCCGGCAGTAAACAAGAAGAGAAGCCCCGGAATCCTGTGCTCTAGTGAGGGAGACCAGGCCATGAGCACCCAGGGACTCCGGCTCCGGTTGAGGAGGCAGCTCTAGCCCCACAGGAACCCCCTTNTCTTCCCCAGATCCTTCTCATTCCACTCCTCTCGCCAGTGCACACTTGGAACCACGGAGCACAACAAAGTTGCTGTTTGGAGAGCCAATGGCTGTTTGCAGTCTGTGTGTATTAAGCATTCAGCTGTGTATCAAGAACGTGAGAGTGTTTTGGCCTGATTTACCCAAGCTGCTCGTGTTGGCTAAGCCTATTACTTGCTGCAGTGTCTGTCACCTTCTTCAGAGTCAGGCTGTATGTTCAGAGTCTGTCCTGGGTTTGCAGAATCTTCATCTTCCCTGCCAAGCCTCTTTCTGTCCTAAGCTTGTTTGGAGAATCTGTCTTTTTTCAGAAGCTGAGTCTTTTTAAACAGTCTGTCCCTCTTTCCTCATGGATAAGATACTTTTTTTTTTTTTAATTGCAAAAGCTGCCCTGCATACAAACTTCTCCCTGTCTACAGAGCTGGTCTCACGTCCTTGGCTGGGACATCTCTTTCTGCCTAAAGACACTATCCTTGTTTTCAAAGATTTGTCTGTTTTCAGCACCTGTCAGAGTCAGCAGAACCTGTTTCCTCGGCAGGAAGTATCTCTGTCTCTAGACTGTGTCCCTGCTCACAGAGTCTTTTCCTCTTTCAGAGCCAGGTTCTGTCTGCAGGACCTGAGCCCTGTTTGTACCGTCTGGGGCGGTTTTCCGGGCCTTTGCCTATTTGCAGGGCCTATCTGAGCTTGCCTGGATAGAAACTTGTCTGCAGGCTCTACGCTACAAAGAGTTCTCACCACCAGGGGTCGCTGTGTCTGTGAGCACCTCTGTCTTTCTGTAGAGTCCACCTCTGTTGGCAGAACCCATGTCAGTCTGCACGGTCTATTCCTAATAATTGAATGTGTACTTTTTAACAAGACCTGTTCCTATTTACAGAGTCTTTATCTGTTTCTAGAACTCACCCTTTTCTAAAGCCTGTCCCTGTTTGCAGAACCTGGGCTCTCTACAGAACCCAGCCCTGTTTCAATATCTTGCCCACGTCTGGAGAATCTGTGCTGGACCACAGAGCTGATTTCCCAGCTGGCTCCTTTCAGCATATCCTGCCCTTTCTAAAGACATCACTGTTAACAGAGGCTGTCTGTTTGCAGAGCCTGTGTGGGCTTACAAGACCTCTCCCAGTCTGCCAAGACTGTCTCTGAGGGCCTTGTCTACAGAGCCTGTGTCTTTTCACAGAGCCTAAGTCTCTCGGCAGAGCTCATGACTGCTTGCCCAGCCTGTTCCCATCTCCCTGTGTGCAGGAGCTGTTTCCCGCGGCTGTCCCTGCCTGCTGAGCCTGACCATGCCTAGAGAGCTTTGGCTTGTTTCAGAGTTGCCTCTGTGAGAAGCACATCTCTGACTGGTAACTCTATGCCTGCTTGCAGAGCCTTGCCTATCTGTGTGCCTGTTCATACCTGCAGTGTCTGACCTTTCTACAAAAAGTCCCTGTCTTAAGAGTTCGTCCCCATCCACAAAGATTTGCAAAGCCTTTCCCATTTCTGAAAAGCTCCTCCATACCAGCAGAACCCAGGACTGTTCATAGAGCCTTTCTCAGCATTTACAGCCTTTGCTTGTTTGCCCAGCCTGTCTGAATTTCCCCAGGTACAGTCTGTGTCTCTTCACACAGGTCATCTTTTCAAAGGTGGTGTCTGTCGACAGAACTCATCTTTGTCAGGAGAACCTGTGCCTGTTCCATCCCTTTCTTGGGTCTCAGGAAGCTGTCCCTGTTTGCAGAGCCTGTGCTTATACACAGAGACTTTTCTCGGCAGGTGCTGTGACTCTGCACGGCCACCTTCCAGCTGTCTGAAAGACCTTCGCTTGTTTGCCTTGTGAGCAGAGCCTGTCTTGCCTACAGGATTCTGTCTTACTTCAAGAGCTGTGTCCCTGTTGGCAGAGCCTGTCCTTGCCTGCAGCACCTGTTGTTACTCAGCAGGGCCCTCGCCCTGGGCAAGCCTAGCACCATCCACAGTGCTTGTCTCTGGCTGCAGATCCTACATCTGTCTGTTTTGAACTCTCTCTGTTGGCAGAGGTGGTCCATAGACTCAAAGCCTATCATCGTCCACCAAGCTCAGCCTTTTTTCAAGAGCGCAAACACAGACCACAAGCTAGGTCCCTGTGTGCAAAGCCTCTGTGCTGACATCTGCAGTACCTGTCCCGGTTTTCTGGGACTTGTGTTTACGCAGCCCTCCTCATGAGAGGCACGGGCCATGATGAAGGGGCTTTGGAGAGCTGTGGGCGGGGAGAGCTCCTGCTTGGAGCCCAGAGGACGGGCGGGGGGCCGGGCCTGAGGACTCCGGCTCGTGTTTCCTCTCTCACTCCCTCCGGATCTAGGATGGACACCAGGAGGGGCCTCCCGGACACTGAGAGTCACAGGGACCTCCACATATGGATCATTGAGGTGAGCGGCACGACCAGACAGAACTGGCGACAGAGAGAGTGTTCGGGTCTCTGAGACTAGGCTTCTCCCAGCCCAGAGGGTCATGGTTGCCGGGAGGGGCTGTCCTGAGTCCTCACGAGGCACCCTCCTCTCCCAGAACCTGCAGATGGTGCCAGTCCCCGAGCCGGCTTACGGGAACTTCTTCGAGAAGCACTGCTATGTCGTTCTGCACGTGAGCGCTTGAGGAGCCTTTTGGGGGGACTGGGCGGGGGGAGGGTCACAGCCCACTGGGGGCTCCGATGATGCAGATTAAGCTCCACCCTGGGAAGAGGCAGGCTGGGAGCCCAAGAATCGCATCCCACAAGGAGGCTGCTGCCGTTGAGCCCTGTTTACCCTTCCATCCTCATTCTCCCTCTTACCTGCGGGAGCACCAGTCTCCCCAAAGCCCTTGCTACCTCCTCCTCCACCTTGGGCCCCAGCGCACCCCACCCACCCTGGGACCTCAGCCCCCCTACCACACACACACACACACACACACACACACACACACACTCACTCTTGGGCCCTAGGTCCCCCAGAGCCTGAAGGCCACGCCGGGGGTGCCCAAAGACCTGCACTACTGGGTCGGCAAGATGGCGGGAGTGGCGGCGCATGGCGCGCCGGGCTCCTTCATGCAGCACCTGAAGGAGGCGCTGGGGGGCGCCACCGTGCAGCACCGCGAGGTGCAAGGCCACGAGTCCGCCTGTTTTCGGAGCTACTTCCGCTCGGGAATCATGTGAGTGAGACGCAGGGGGCTGAGAGGGCCGGAAGATGCGGCGGGGGCTGGCCGCTGGGGCAACTGGCTTCCTCATCACAGTGTGTGGGGTGTGTTGGGGTTGTTGTTTTGTTTCTGTTTTTATATTGAAATCATGCCATACAACCAACCCATATAAAACACACAATTCAGTGTTTATAGTATATCCACAGCCTTCTGTGATCCATCACCACAATTTTAGAACATTTTCGTCACCACCCCAAGAATCCCCCTACCCTTTAGCATCACTCCCCACCTCCTCCCATACTCCCTTCCTTCTGTTTAGATCTATCTCTTCTGGACATTTTACTTAAATAGAATTAGACAATGCCATGAGTGCCTATACCACATTTTATTTGTTTTCATCACTTAATGGATATTTGGCTTGTTTCTACTTTTTAGCTGTTACGGGTAATACTGTTATGAACATACAGATTTGGGCTAGTTTTTGCCCCCATTTTTTTTGAGATATACAGACTGTATCAGTTTAAGGTGTACAGCATAATGGTTTTACTTGCATGTATCATGAAGTAATTACTGCAATAAGTTTACTCACCATCCATTACTGTATATAAATCTTTGTGTGGACATTTGTTTTTCATTTCTCTTGGGTGTATATCCAGGAGTGGACCCCAGTTTTGAGTTTACTTTTGTGTTACCATGCCCAGTATAAATACGTCTTTTGTTGTAAATTGCTTCAAATATGTATTTAATTACCAAATGCATTGAACCATAGGAAACTGCCAGTATTCAATCATTCTGTTGAACCAAATACATGTAAATAGTATGTACATAAATGCATGCACACGTGTATACATGCACGTGCAGACAACATGCCAGCCCATATATGTCCACCTACCAGTGGGCATACATCAGTGAGTATTCATGTCCACCTACACACACATACAGTTATGTGAATTCCATGCATACACATCTATACTCACACAGATATAGATACACATACCCCACATGCATACCTGGATACACATGTGCATGTGTTCACATATCTACACATGAATAAGCACATGCACAGTCCTGCCCCCATATGCTTGCACACATGTGTTCGTATCTGCTTGCACATATGTGTTAAACAGGCACATATGTGTCCCCACATGTGCATGCCCATGTTCGTGTCTGCACTCACTGCCACTCGGGGCAGCCTGTGGTCTCACATGGGACCCTGTGCTCTCCTCAGCTACAGGAAGGGAGGCCTGGCCTCTGCCCTCAAGCATGTGGAGACCAACGTGTACAACATCCAGAGACTGCTGCGCATCCGAGGGGGGAAGCACCTGTCTGCCACCGAGGTGAGAGCTGCGAGGGATGCCGCCTGACCTTGGACTCAGCTGGACTGCATGTCCCAGAGTGTCAGGAGGTGTGGAGGGTGGTGGGGGCAGTGAGGGGAACATGGGTGGTCAGCATTCCCCGATGGCCCATCCTGATGAGGAGAGAGAAGGCAGAGCCCGGCTTCCCGCCCCACCTCTGCCGTGTCTCCTCTGACCCTTGGTCTCCTTGTCTGTCCCGGAGCACATTAAGACCTAGGACAGTGAGGCGGACGAGATGATGCACCTGGGTGGCCCCGGTAAGCAGCACCATGAGAGACAGCATGATCTGGGGAGGTGCACGGCCCCACACTCTCATACACATCGTCGCTGTCACCCATAGGCACACACAGCCTCTCCCACTGCTGCCCCAGAGCTGCTTGGCCCATTGAGAGCCTTGTGCAAATTAGACCTGAATGCTTTTTACTGCCATCAGGATATTGATGGAAAATTCTGGTCTTGTGAGAACAAGATGGTCTACTGCCATCCAGTGTAATAAACAGGAATCTGACAACTGCAATATGAACAGTGCCCCCGAATTGTGCACATTACCATCTACACAGTTCTGGGACTCACAGACAGTCCCGCCCAATCCCATGCAGTGTCACGCATAGATTCAGTGACTGTACATCTGGGTCATGCAGGGCCACCAGGCAGCCCCAGGTTTTGCCTGTTAGCCTGCCATAGTTCTTCAGGGCCCCCGCGTTTACTCTCAGAAGTGCCTCTGTTGGGGTGAGGACTGCCTTCAGCACGGATCACACACTGTCTCCTACACAGGCACATGTGCATGTCACCCAGGAGCACACACAGCTACACGCATGGAGAAGCGGATGCGTGAGCCCCACTTGTACCCACGTGTCCACGTACACACGCACTGCTGTGGACACGCGCTGAGAAGTGTCAGATTCAGTCACGGACACCCTGTGAAAGGACGGACACATAACCGGTAGTCACAGACACCCAGAGACGCACCCAGCCACACCCACACGGTGACCCTCCAGGTCTCACATGCTTACACCGATGCATGCCTACACACGGCTCACACATACACCACACACACCACACCACACTCATACATACAGCTAGCTGCACACAAGTGACACGCCTGAGCCGTGCCCACATGGGAAGGGGCTGGCTGCAGGCCCTTCCCGGGGTCCAGGCAGCACAACCCCCCGTCTCCGACCCTGGCCCCCGCAGGTGGAGCTCTCCTGGCACAGCTTCAACAAGAGTGACATCTTCCTGCTGGACCTGGGGAGGATAATGATCCAGTGGAATGGGCCCAAGGCCAGCGCGGCCAGGAAGGCGCAGGTCAGTGTCCTCCCCAGGAACGAAGGGCTGCAGGGCTTGCAGGGAGGGGTCTGTGGGCCCACCCTCCAGCTACCCCAAGAGGTGGTCATGGCTCTCTGCCCAAGAAGCGGAGAAGCACCTACAAGCTGAGTCCAAATTCCACACTGGGGGTACCTCTAGATACCAGGATCAGGGGGTACCTCCCCAGGCCCCCTACCTCTGGGAGCTGAGCAGTGACAGGAAGGGTCTGGGCTGGAATGTCTGAGAGGTGAGGGGGCATGCTGGGGAGGCCCTGACTTCCACCTCTGGTCCCGCAGGGCCTGTTCCTGACCCACAGCCTCCGGGACAGGGAGCGTGGTGGTCGTGCACAGGTCAGTGTGGTGGATGATGAGGCTGAAGCCACTGACCTCATGGAGATCATGGAAGCTGTGCTGGGCCGCAGAGTGGGCAACCTGCATGACGCGATGCCCAGCAAGAGGATGAATCAGCTGCAAAAGGCCAATGTCCACCTCTACCAGTGAGCAGACCTTGGGAGTGGGCAGGGTGGGTGGAATAGCCCAGGTGGGTGTGTCCACTGTTACTGCAGTAACATGCTGCCTCTAGGAAGCCCTCTAGGAAAGGCTCTTGGCTGTCTGGAGCAGGCCATGAGGCACCTTAGACTCAGCCTGTACTCCTGCATGGCTGCCTATCTGAGAAACCCATTGTACAGACAAGACGACTGAGGCTCTGAAAAGGCCAGGGCACTACCTAAGGCTTCACAGCAAGGCTGCGGTGAAGACCTCAACTCGGGCACCCAGCCCCCAAGCCTTCTGCCTCTGGAGGAGAGGGGCAGTGGCAGCAGGAGTGGAGCCTGGCCAGGAAGGGGCTGCGCTGCCCACATCTGCATGCCTGCCCCCTAGAGTCTGCCAGAAGGGCAAGGATCTGGTGGTCCAAGAGTTATCAACCTGCCCATTGGCCCAAGATCTACTTCAGGAGGAGGTGAGGCAGGCTTGGTCCCAGCCATCCCCACCCACTCCATAACTGCAGCCCAGTCCAGACCACGTACTGACCAGCCCCACTTCTGATCCCAGAACTGCTACATCCTGGATCAGGGTGGCTTCAAGATCTACGTGTGGCAGGGACGCCTGGCCAGCCTCCAGGAGAGAGGGGCTGCCTTCAAGAGGGCTCTGGTGAGGCTGGAGGCCCTGTCTCAGAGGGTCGTTGTGCTGCCCTGGGGTCTGAGGATGGGAGACATCCGTGTCCTGGGGTCTAAAGGGAGGGGTCGTCCTGCCCTGGGGCCAGGAGGGGGATACCTCCTGCCCTTGGAGCCCTGTCTGATGGAGGAGAATATAACCCCGTCCTGGGGTCCAAGCCTGGAGACCCACTGCCCTGTCTGAGGGAGGAGACACACTCTGACCAAAGACCCCAGGGGAAAACACGGCCCTTCTCCGGGGTACCACAGGCTGTGGTTCCCTGGAGGCCCCGGCAGGGAAAGACCAGAGAGTATCCAAGAAGCCATGTGTAAAAGGGGGGCGTGGGGGACCTACCTTGAGGTCTGAGGATTCTCCAGCACTGGGCCCACCTTCCTTTTCCAGGAGGGGAGGCAGGGTTCTGCCTGGGGTCTGAGGGGCGGTCATAGCCCGCCCTTCCGGACGCCCGGAGTAAGGGGAACCTGCATGTCCTCGGGGACCTCGGAGAAGTCGGTAGTGTAGGAGCCAGCTCCTTATGCGGGTCGTGAGCTCAGCTAATTAACGCTGTCCAGTGCGGAGCTGGCCCCACAGGTCCCGCGAGGTAGAGTGGAGCAGTGGGCCCTGGGCCACACGCTTGACACAACTCCCGCCCCAGAGCTTCATCCAGGCCAAGGGCTACCCGAGCTACACCAGCGTGGAGGTGATGGACGATGGCGCTGAGTCGGCCGGGTTCAAGCAGCTCTTCCGATCGTGGCCTGGGCCTCAGCGCAAGAACAAGAACCTTAGTGGGATGGGTGAGAGGGCGTGGCCAGAGAGCGGGGCGGAGCTCCGAGCTACTGTGGGCGGGGCGGGGCGGGGCCCAGAATATCCCGGAGAAGAGTGGGGGTGTGGCTGGAGGGGGCGTTTTACGTGATGGGCGGGGCAAGACACCTTCTGTCCCACCCTCAGGTAAACTGCTGCAGGTGAAGCTAGACGTGGGCAAGCTGCACAGCCAGCCTGAGCTAGCCGCCCAGCTCAGGATGGTGGACGACGCTTCTGGGAGCGTGCAGGTGAGGGGCACTGCCTTGGCTGGGTGAAGATGTCTTCAGGTGAACCATGTGGCTGCTGAAGTGTCGCAGGTATGCCCTGGTGCACGTCTGCACACAATCAGAGACCCTCGTACATATACACACACCGCCCCGAGCCAGCTCATACTGTGTGTGACAGTACTTTCACACACAACAGTGGCCGCTTGCTGGGTAACACTCATGGCACTCAGCACAGTAACATCTGGACAATTAATTGTACCCTTTTGTCGAATGTTTGACACAACCATACCTGTTATATTATAGACACACCTTTGTCATTGCACTTATTCACAGCTAGGTACACAGTTGCAAACATGCAGCTAGCTGTACAAACTCTACATCACACATGATCATACCCCCACACATCCAGCCTTCAACACAGTCACACCCTGTCAGCCCCCTATCTGGGCTCAGACAGATGTCCTGGGAGATGCAGGGTTTGGGGGCTACTTCCAGGCTCTGTACAGGGCAGGATTGCCTCTTGACTTACTGGGTCACCCCTGGTCAGGGCCCTTAATTTCTTCAGGACTCAGTTTTTTAGAACACTCTCTTTTTTTTAATCTGTAAAATGGGGCTAAATCTGTGGTCGCACCTGGCCCCCAGGCTGGTGTGGGGGTGCTGTGAGACGATGGGAACAGGACAGCTGGGCCTGTTTGAGGGGGTGCTAGTTCTCAAGGTAGGCCAAGGTCAGAGAAAATACTGTTTCTCCCAGGTTCCCTCCAACTTTTGCCCTGATATGGATGGACAGTGGCAATGAGCGGGGAAGAGGCTGAGAATAGGAGGACGGGGAGCAGGGAGAAAGGATGACAGGTTGGAGGACAGGGAGAGACTGAGGGAGAGGGGGGAGAAGACAGAGGAGAGAAGACAGAGGAAGAAGACAGAAGCTAGAGGGAGGAGGGGATAGGGCAGAACGGGAGGGGCCAAGGCCCAGGAGAGGAGAAGGAGTCAGGGAGAGATAGAGTACCCAGGGAGAGATGGGCAGCCAGGAGAAAGAGAAAAGGAGAAACAGGAAAATGGAGATCAGGGTAAGGAAGGAAGGAGGGGTCTGTAGCCCAGACCCCAAGTACCAAGGCAGGGAGGGGGACCCACCCACCCCAGTAGTCAGGGGACAGGCAGCCAGGGGAGGCCCACGGCAGGAGGCCTGGCTGCCAGGTGAGTGCAGCTCCTGGAGGCATGGGACGGGAGTCAGCCTCTTCTGCAAGAAGCAGGATGCTGGGTACTCTGGTCTTTTTCAGAGACTGCAGACAGGCCTCAGGATGCCCCAGTGTTGTTTCTTACTACATCAAAGTGAGCACTGTTACCCCCACTTTACAGGTGGGAAAAACTGAATCTCAGAGTGGACTCCCTGCCCCTGTGGGTGATCAGAATCCGACCGGGGTCTCCCTGGCTTGGCTCCCCCACAGGAAAAAGAGGTCACACCAAGTGTGACAGACTGTTTCCCTTTCAGTCTTTGAACAGGCTTTGCTTTTCTAAATGACACTTGAGAAAAGGAAGATTTTCCAAGAACCCTTGGGCCTTGCTTCTGCCCAGCTTCTGCTCCCCTGGCCTGAGCCGTGAGCCTCAGTGCAGGCCCTGTCTGGCCCTTGCCCGGCTGTGGCTGGCGGGGTCAGGCTGGGGTGGCCTGAAGTGGCTGGGGCAGCCTCTGGAGTCCTCCCTGCTTGTTTGTCACAGGCGCTCCACACCAAGTCTGAGTCCTGGCTGCAAGCAGCCTGGCGCAGATGTGGGCCCCAGGGGCCCATGGTGGGGGGGGGCACAGAGAATGGGGTGGGTGCCCACCTCGAGGGGAGCCCCTTGCCTGCACAGGTGCGGCCTGCCTCTGGCTGCAGAGAGCGTCCTGGCTGGACAGGTGGGTGGGCTGGTTTAGGCGGAGGCCCCACCCGTGCCCGTTGGTCCGCTGCTCCCCAGATGTGGTGCATCCAGGAGTCACGCAGGCAGCCCGTGGACCGCAAGCATCACGGACAGCTGTGCGCTGATGGCTGCTACCTTGTCCTGTATGCCTACCAGAAGATGGGCCTTGGCCAGCACGTCCTGTACCTGTGGCAGGTGCGCCGGCCCGAGCCGGGTGGCGGGCACCCTCAAGCCCTGAAGCCGAGGAGCCGCGGCCGGGGCCTGGGACCTGCGCCAGGCCCTCACCGCTCCCGCCCACAGGGCCTCCAGGCCACGGCGCACGAGATCAGGGCCCTGAGGGGCAATGCCGAGGAGCTGAGCCTGCGGTGCCATGGGGCCCTGGTGCAGGAGCACGTGACCATGGGCAGCGAGCCCCCCCACTTCCTCGCCATCTTCCAGGGCCGGCTTGTGATCTTCCAGGTAGGGCTCACCTCGCTGCCCCCGCCACAGTACCCCCGCTCCTCTGGGTGACCGTGGCCCTTCCATGCACAGGCTGAGCAGCATCCTGGTGTTTGTCTGAGGCCCAGGCGCTCCAAGGGTGACCCCTGCCTGCCCCATTTCCTCCCCCGCGTCCCCACGGCCAACCACAGAATGGGGTGTAATGAAGAAGCCGAACAGGAAGGGAGCCGGGGCTTTGTCTGGGGTCACACACAGACCCAGCTGCTCCCCACCTTCCACCTTTAAGACCCGGGGGATCCTTGCTCTGACCCCTCCAAGATGGGGTGAGGGATCCATTTAGAAAGGGCCTGGTCCCCTATTCCAGATTGAGGGGATCCTCTCACTGCACACTCACAGGGTCCAGAAAACAGAGGTAGCTTTAAGAGACAGGGCCCTGGGTGCCGAGGCAGTGCAGCCCCCCACTGGGAAAGGGCGGCAGCCCAGGAGCCCCTGCCTCAGCCTGAGGCCCAGTCCTCTCATAGGGGCGCCGCGGGCACAGCAGGAAGGGGCAGCTGGCACCCGCCGTGAGCCTCTTCCACATCCAGGGCACCAACAGCTACAACGCCCGAACCCTGGAGGTGCCAGCCCGTGCCTCAGCCCTCAACTCCAACGACGTCTTCCTGTTGGTGACAGCCAACCTCTGCTACCTCTGGTTTGGAAAGGTAACCCATGCCCGGGGCAGGGGCACCAGGCCAGTGGAGGCTGACCTCAAGCCCAGCCTCAGGCCAGGAAGGAGGTGGTGGAGAGCCACCTGTCCTTTCTGGAACCTGGGGGAGGTTATAATGTGACAGGTGGACAACGGTGTCCACAGGTCAGAGCCAGGCCAGGCCCGGGCCACCTCCCCTCCTTCCAGCCTCGTTCAGGGACCACGTCCCTCCCCAAGTGTCTTGGGAAAAGGAGGAGGCCTCGTTCAGCTGTCAGGGTTTTCTCTGATCTTCAGCGTAAAACATGAGTGATCTGCACATCTGGAAGTCTCCATCCTGTGCTCTGACCTGGAGAGGGTCCCTGTGACCTTGATCGCCTGAGGAGACAGAAGCCAGGGGTGGGGTGCAGGGAGGCAGGGAGACCCTTGTTCACGTGTGCTTGGCCACGAGCCCAAGCCTCCCATGACTCCCGCTCCCAGGCCCCTATTAGCAGGGGGTGAGGGGCTGGAGGTGACGCCCTCTCCCGCTGCAGGGCCTGACCCGGCTTTCTGCCTTCCAGGGCTGCAGCGGTGACCAGCGTGAGATGGCGCGGGCCCTGGTCACCATCATCTCCAGGGAAGACACGGAAATAGTGCTGGAGGGTCGGGAGCCTCCCGACTTCTGGGAGGCTCTGGGGGGCCGGGCGCCCTACCCCAGCAACAGGAGGTGACAAGGCTGGGAGGAGGGTGCGCCCCTGACCCAGAGGAGGAAACTGAGGCCCAAGAGGGTGGGTGATTAGTTAAGGGTCACACAGAGAACTAGAGAGAGCCCAGGTGCACACCCCACTGACTTGTAGCGGGAAGATGCTGGGGAGCACGTTGCCGTGGTGCCCTCTGCTGGAGAAATGCGCTCCCTGCCCTATCCCGTCCTGGACCATCCCATCCGCAGAGGGCCCGAGGGCAAAGCACCGTCCCCCAATCCCGCACTGCCCACAGGTGGTGTCCCTAGGGTAATGGGACACATGGGAAACAGCGTGTGTGCAGTGTGCAAGAATAGTGTGCGTGTGCTGTGTCAGTGGATAAGGAAGGGCAGAGTGAGGCCTCTCAGGGCTCTGGAAGCAGAGCTGGTCTCTCAGTGTCTGTGGGACCTGGCTGTTCCCCCCATGCCTCTCCTGAGCGCCTGCATTCTGCGGTCCCTTCTCTGAATCTGGGTTCCCTCCTCCTACTCCTCCCACCTTCGGCCGGAGGCGCAGCTCCTGGGCTCCCAGTCCAGGGTGGGGCCAGGCGGCTTCTCCCGGGGCAGCAGGACACCCCCTGGGCCCTCCCTGCCCGCCTGCCCTCCGCACTCAGCCCGCTGCCCCCTCCTTCCCGGCGCTCCTTCCCCGGGAAGTTCATGGGGCAGCTTGTGCTTCAGCTGCCTGTGGGTAATCAGATCACCTAGCTCTCTCCACTGACAACATGGAGGCCTGGAGAAGGGCAGGCGTTTGGGGAGTGGACACTGGGATGGGGGAGCTCAGAGGAGGCCAGTGCCTCCGGCCCCAGGAGGCGTTGTGTCCCAGCCCCGGAGGGGTGGTGGAGGGGTGCTGTGCGGAGGGCTGGCGTGGCCCCGGCTGAGAGGCCCAGGGCTCTCTGTGCCCCTCACGGCCTTGTGCCATGCTGGCCAGGCCCCCCGAGGATGTGTCCGACTTTCAGCCACGACTGTTTGAGTGCTCCTGCCAGACGGGCCCCCTGGTCCTCACAGAAGTAGTGTTCTTCAGCCAAGAGGACCTGGACAAGTATGACGTCATGCTGCTGGACGCCTGGCAGGAGGTGCGGTCACCTGGGTGCCCGGGTGGGGTGTGAATGGGATGCGTCTGCACCTGTCTAACTGGGTGAGAGTGTGTGTGCGGCTTCCTGTTTCTAGCCATGCGACTGCATATAAGGCTGCGGGTGACTACCTGTGCCCTGAGACCCTGAGTGCCCGTGATCCTGTGGCTGTGGATGAGACGCCAGGGAGGACTCTGTCCCAGGGAGCCCGTGGGAGACTGTGGCTGTGTGTCTAGGGCTCACGTGTGCTTGTAACCAATTGTGGGGCTGGGTGTAAGGTAACTGTGTGCCTTCTGACCGCGTAAGTCCAGGCAACCGAGTGCCTGTGGCTGACACGTCAGTGCTGAGTGGGCGTCCATAAAGTGACTGTGTGTGTATGTGTGTGTAGTGGCCATAAAGTGACTGCGTGTATGTATATGTATGTGTGTGTAGTAGCCATAAAGTGATTGTGTGGGTGTATGTATGTGTGTAGTGGCCATAAAGTGATTGTGTGTGTGTATGTGTGTGTAGTGGCCATAAAGTGACTGCGTGTATGTATACGTATGTGTGTATAGTAGCCTTAAAGTGATTGTGTTTGTGTATGTGTGTGTGTGTGTGTGTGTGTGTGTCTGGGACTCTGAGTGTGGCAGGGAGGCCTTTGGGCTCCCATCCCACTCAGAGCACAAGCAAAGCCCTGTGAGCAGCAGCCCTGATTCCCCGTCTCACTCACTCTGCTCCGGCCACCACGTCCTCCTGGCTACTCCTTGAACATGCCAGCATGCTCAGGGCCTTTGCACTGCTTGTTCCTCTGCTCAGAGCATTTCCCCCACCACCCCCCACCTCCCTCAGATCTTGACTCAAATGTCATCTTTTCAGTAAGGCTTTCCCTGACAGTATCTACCACTTCACCACACTACCACCACTCTTCTTTCCCTGCCTTATTTTTCTCTATCTGATATTCTACATATTTTACTTATTTTGGGGCCTCCCCCAGCAAAGTGAAAGCTCTGCAAGGACAGGGATTTTGTCTTATGTCTTGTCCATGGTTGAGTCCCTCGTCCCAAGACAGTGCCTGGCACAGCATGGTTACTCAGTAAGTGTATGTGGATTGACTGCATACGTGCATGCCTGCGAACCTCCTGGCATGTTTCCGAGTGTGTGGCCCACCTGCTGGGTGGGTCTGGTTGGCTGGGATGTGTGTGGAGGGGGCTGAGCACCTGATGGACAGGGCTGGGAGGGAAGAGGTCAGCTTCCCCCACCCAAGGCCAGGCCCCCTCTGTGGCCCAGATCTTCCTGTGGTTGGGGGCAGCTGCCAGTGAGTGGAAGCAGGAGGCTGTGGCCTGGGGCCAGGAGTATCTGAAGACCCACCCGGCAGGGAGGAGCCTGGCCACACCCATCATATTGGTCAAGCAGGGCCAGGAGCCTCCCACCTTCACCGGATGGTTCTGCACCTGGGACCCCTACAAATGGAGTGTGAGTGATGCCTGAACTCCCCCATCTCCACCCTAATCCAGGGGGAGGGGGCCACCCTGGTATACTGAGGGGGAGCCATCACCCTGCCCAGGGACCTCCGGTCTGTGGACAGAACCTGATCCCTTTGTTGCCCCTCCATTGAGCCCCCATCCTGATTCTTGCCCCTAGAACACCCAGTCCTACGAGGAGGTGTTGGAGGGTGACCCAGGAGCAGTCTCTACCATCTCTGAGATAACAACCGTAAGTATTAGGACCCCCCTTGCCTGCTGGCTCAGATAGTGAAGGATCCGCCTGCAATGCAGGAGACCTGGGTTTGATTCCTGGGTTGGGAAGATGCCCTGCAGGAGGGCATGGCAACCCACTCCAGTATTCTTGCCTGGAGAATCCCCACGGACAGAGGAGCCTTGTGGGCTACAGTCCATGGGGTCACAGAGTTGGACCCAGCTGAGCAACTAACACTCACACACACACACGCACTCGTGAGTCTGGGCTGGCATGGCCCAGAGACCAGAATGAGCAGGGAAGGAGCCAGGCGCCAGAAGGGGCAGGAGTGGTGTTGGGGGCAAGAGGACCAGGGAGCTCAGTGCGGCCTCCCGAGGGAGCCTATCCCCCAGCTTCCTGAGCCTGAGGCCCCTCTCCTGGCAGGAGATCGTCAACTTCCGGCTGTCCAGATGGCCAGGCAATGACAGGGCAGGCCCGTTGGCCCTGCGGGCCCTCAAGAGCTGCGAGGACAGCTCCGAGAGTGAGCTGGGGCTGGGCCCCCACGTGGGCCCCAGCAGCCGGAGCACCGTCAGCAGCGCCAGCAGCAGCAGCTACCAGAGCAGCCCCCGATCCCTGGGCAGCGGGGGCCTGCCCCGGGAACAGCTGATGCACCAGGCTGCCGAGGACCTGCCGGAGGGCGTGGACCCGGCCCATAAGGAGGTGGGTGCTCAGAACCCCTGCCGCTCCCAGTCCCCACCCTTGTGCAGGGAAAGCTGAGCTGCAGGCACCCAGGGCATGACCCACAGGTGGTGGGCCATGGGCAGCTGCCCTGGGAGATGAGTGTTCCAGATGGGGTGATGGGCAGAGAGACGTGGGAGAGGACAGCACCTCTGGGTGGGTGGGACAGGGTTATGGGCTCAGCTGACACCCTGCTTCTGTACCCACTCTCCTGCCCCCGCCCTGCCCCAGGCCTATCTCTCAGACTCTGATTTCCAAGATATCTTTGGGAAGTCCAAGGAGGAGTTCTACAGCATGGCCAAGTGGAGGCAGCAGGAGGAGAAGAAGCAGCTCGGCTTCTTCTGAGCCCAGGCCCTGCCCTGCCAGTGCCACACAGATGGCCCAGGTGTGGGCACCCGCCTGCTGGCACCTCCCTGCAAATACCTGAGCCCTCCCTCCTTGGAGACTCCTGGTCCCTAAAATAAAAGCCGGTGGCTCTGACAAGGTGTGGTGAGTGGGCTTTCAGGGTTGGGTCACTCAGGTCTGCCTCTTAGGGGAGTGGGCCTCTGGAACTGGGGTGGCGGGTGGGCTGTGACATTCCAAAGCCTGAGCCCTCCAGGCCCTCCACCTTGAACGGGTTTGTTCTGTGCTGGTTCGTCCTGCCCAGGGGAACAGGCACTGCTCCCACCCCTTGCCCCACTGTGAAGGTAGAGAGAAGTAGAGAATGAGGTGCTGGGGCTGCAGGGCTCTGGGACACACATGCACACACACACACACACACACATGTACACACACACACGCTTTACAGGGATTTTTCTGGTATCCAGGTAAAGAGACCACAGTACTTAGTTTTACGATTTTTATAAAAACCCTCAACCCAGGGCTCGGCCGGAGGATGGAGAGAGGGCTGCAGTGTGGTTCCTAACGGAAGTGAGGACAGCACCAGGGACTGGGCCAGCACCTGGGCTCCCGAGAGGCAGCAGCAGACAGTAGGCTGGAGCTGAAGGCGGTGCAGGGCTGCCGGCTCTGAGCAAGGGGCTGAGACAGCCCCCATCGGGCCCCCAGATGTGGACAGAGGAGCCGGCCTGCTCAGGGCAGCCCTCACCAGACCCCCCCGAGCCTAGTCCCGGAGAGCCACCTTCACAAAGAGCGTGGCAGATGGGTGCTGGTCTCCGTTCTTGGAGAGGAGGTGGACATGGCGATATCCTGGCGGGCGGAGGGGCGGGGAGGGGTGCACCAGGAGAGTTCCGTTCACTCAGGGAGGATGCTCCGAGGGACAGCCAGCCCCCGCCCGAGAAATGCCTCCCATCCCACCCCGCCCCCGGGTCGCCTCCTTCCTCACAGACACTCACCCTCTTTGAGGCTTTTCAGGGGGATGGTGCTCTGGCCAATGAAGTCGTTTTTGGAGGAGGCGTCGTAGTCCTCCACCACAAAGCGCACGAGGGCAAGCTCAGGCACAGCCACCTCGAACTCAAACTCCGTGTCCCACCATGGGTTGAAACCTAGGGGGTGCAAGCACCGTGTCAAGAGCACGGATGCCAGCTCCAGGAGCCAGGCTCAGCCCGGGCCCAGCACATACCATTATTGGTGACCACGGGGGTCTGGCGGCTTGCCACATCCCGGCTCACACCATGGATCTCCACTGTCACCTTGGGGTCCACAATTGAATTCTTGTTCTTGTTGACTTTTGGCAGCTGCTGCCCAGAGATGACCTGAGGAGAGGCAGGGGATAATTAAGCGTTCAGGATGGTAGGGAGGGGGAAGGGAGGCCTGGGGCACCTGTCCCCCCAGTGGCTGGCCGTACCCTGACATTGAGTCGTTTCGGAGTCCACCAGGGCCCCTGAGCCAGGGCACGGGAGTTGAAGGTGGAGTTGGGGTCTCGCAGGAAGGCAGGCTTCAGCACGTAGCCACAGGCCCCATTGTCCAGGAAGCGGCCCTGGTACACATCCATCTCTGACCCAGGTGTCTGGAAGTTCAGGGCCACTACAGGCAGGATAGAGTAGTCACAGGCTGTGGGGGGGTCTCAGGGGTCCCAGAGCCCAGGTGGCTTGGGATACACTGGGGCCCAGAGTCACATAGTGAGGCAGAAGCAGGGTCCAGGATCACTCCAATGCCTACTGCCCTGCTGCTACCCTAATTGACCCACCACACCAACCTTACATTCCATTTCTGGGGCCAGAATTCAAAGGACAAGTGTGCTAATGATGAAATTTCAGAGGCTGTATTTGTGGGCGGGAGATATTTCCAAACTGAGATTACCAGCTCTGAAGCCCACAAATCCGTGAATCTGGCTCTGCCTGGGTCCTCAGAGGCCCCTGGCCCTCCAGACAGAAACCCTCACCCAGGGCTCCTCCAAGCCTCAGCCAGCCCATACCGATCTGGCAGCCCCCATTCCACATCTCCACGGGGCTGTAGTTAGAGGAGTCGGTTCTCCACCCAGCCGGGTAGATCCTGCTCAGGTGATCCACGTTGTGGCGGACGAAGCTGTTTCCTGCGGGGGTGGTATGAGTTGGTCAAAAGCAGAGGCCTTATGGGTGAGCCCAAGCCCCTCCCTAACATCGTGGAGTGCCGGCTCTGGGCAATATCTGGAGGGGTGGGAGATAGTCCTGGCCCTGGCCAGCTCAGATGGTCAGACAGATGGGCAGCAATCTAGGGGGTGGGGAGGCAGGGCCAGCTTCACCTGATTCTTGGAGCAGTCGGAGGGCGCGGTTCTCAGAGAAGGATGACATCTCATAGAAAGCCTGCCCAGAGGTGCCAGGGCTGGGGAAGCCCCGAAAGTGGACGCTCTTGCAGTAAACAACCATGTCGGAGAGTTCCTTCGCTAGCCTGAGCTTGTCCTCCTGGGGGCCATGGGGAGGCCCGGGTTAGACTCAGGGATTGGGGCAGGTGGGCACTGAGAGAGCCAGAAACCCAGACAGAGACAGAGAGAGGGGGCAGAGGGTCTGAGTGGCAGCCACAGAGCACCCGGACAGGGCGAACATCCCACACGGTGCGGAGGGTGATGATGGGGAAGGCCCCAGGGCTGCCCCCGCGCCCCCACAGCTCCCCCTTGAACCTTGGATTTGTGCTGCACTTGGCTCCTGACTGCCTCGTCCTCCATCTCAGCAGCCTCATCCTCATCTGACACCACAGTGGCCTCTGGGCCACCTTCTCCTCCAGGCAGGAAGAGCCCTCCGAGCTTCTTCCCCTTCAGCAAGATCTTCCCCCTCAGTTGCTAAGGATGGAGGGGGCAGCTGGTCAACATCCAGCTGTCCTCCCGGCCAGTCCCCTGCCCTCTCCTCTGGGCACCGGGTCCCCATGGGGCACCTCAGGGGAAGGCAGGCTGGTGATGACCCCGTCCAATGGCCGATCCAACAGCATGGGCCCCAGGAGGGTGCGCAGGTGCCGGGCCATCACGCGCTGCTGCTCCAGGCTGCAGTGGTTCTCCAAGGACAGGATGACGGGGTAGGGGGATGCCTGGAAGCCCAGGGGTAGATTAAGAGGGGTGGGTGGCCCCCGAGTTCTTCCTCCTCACCCCCAGGGGCGCGCCCACCTTGAAGGCATAGTCCCGGATGGCCCTGACGGCGTCGCAGAAGAGGATCTTGGAGGTGAAGGTGTAGCCATGATAGATGATCGGCTCCTGGTTGGGCCCATCCCAGCAGTCGAGCTCCAGGCAGCGGCAGCCTTTGCACAGCGCCCTGCAGGTGGGGCGGAGAAGGTAATGGCAACCCACTCCAGTGTTCTTGCCTGGAGAATCCCAGGGACGGGGCAGCCTGGTGGGCTGCCGTCTATGGGGTCTCAGAGTCGGACACGACTGAAGCGACTTAGCAGCAGCAGCAGCTGCGCGTTGGGTGTGGGCGAGGCCCTCGGTCCCGCCCAGGTCAAGCCCGGCCCCGCCCCGCCACGCCCGCCACGCCCCACCAGGCCCAAGTTGCCCTGCCCCACCGGATGTAGGCTTCTGTGCTGCTGGGACCCGTGAGCTGGTCTTCCAGCAGGTAGGTGTTGTGCGAGGACGACACCAGGTAATGGCTGAGCGGCTGGTCCATGTCCTGGTAGACGCGCCGGTGCGCCAGGTCGAAGGCGCTGCCGTCAGCCGAGAGCAGGTACATGAGAAAGCCGTCCTTGGTCATCTGACGCTGCGCCTTGGCTGGGAGGCGGGAGGCGGGAAGGCGACTGCCGGTCAGAGCGCCCTGGGAGCAGGGGTCCCACAGCCCCGCCTCCCATCCTGAGCTGGTGCTCTGGTATCTCTTGGAAGGGGGTGCGTTTGAGTCTCTTGACCAGACCGTGACTATACCCCAGCGTGGGGCTCTGTCTCCTGCTCTTCTGTCCCCTACTCGGTGAGGCCCCCCGAGGGCAGGACCTCCTCACCGCCTTCTCCAGGACTGGGCCCCCATCTGACGTCTTAAAGCGTTGTGCCCAGCATGGGCTGGGAAATATCGCCCAGGGGCCCTGGGGATGGCTGAGGCGTCCCCTGCCCTCCAGCTCCCTACTCGGGCTGCCGTCTCCCCAGAGGTCTTCCCGCCGCGTGGGGCCCGGGACTGCAGGTCGCAGGCCCTCACCCGTCTCGTTGGGTTCGTAGCGCTCAATGAGGGAGAGAGCCAGTGCCGGCCCCGCCGCCTCCTCCCGCTGCTGCTGCTGCAAGAAGGTCACCAACTGATCCACCGACAGGGCCTCTTTGGAGCCGGTGGCCTCCGCGAAGGTGCGGTCGATCTCCTTCCTCTGGGTCAGTATCTTGTAGAAGGTCTCGATCTCCTCATCCTCCAGGGAGTCTGTCTGAGAGTGGTCACATTCCTGCAGAGCCAGGACGCCAGGTAGGCAGGGCTCAGAGCCGGCCCCAGGCTGTGTTCCAGACACACTGCCGGGCAGACCCAGCCCTCGCTTCCTGCCTCACCTTGAAGATCTTTCGGGCATAGCTGTCGTCCACCTGGATGTTGAGCTCCTTCAGGAAGTTTTGTAGCTCTTTGAAGCTCATCTTGTTGTCCTTGTTTTTGTCAGCTTTTCGCAAGCAGGAATGAATCCAGCTGGGCAAGAAGTAAGGAAAGAACCCCAGGAGCTCTGGTACCCCCTAGGTCCCAGCCAGAGCCATGGCTCAAGCTCAGGGTCAACTCCTAGGCCCAGGTGGACTGAGGGCTCCTATACACCCAGCTCCCGGCAGGCCTGGCTGCTGGCACATCTGCATTTCAGTGGGACCTAGTAGCCTCTTTGGAGGAAATATGACATCCAACGAAAGAGTCTTTTTCCTACTTTCTGGCTTTGAACCCTTTCAAAATTTCAAAAGTATTTATTTTCTCACTCTTAAAGGTCCATTACAGACAGTTGAGAAAATGAAGAAAAGTGAACAAAGGCCCCATAGTTCTATCACCCAGAGTTAACTACTGTTAATATTTCAAGGTATGTCCTTTTGGTTTTCAATGTATAATTATTACTCAACTTGACTAAAGCATTTAAGGCTTATTTAGTAAGAAATAGCAAATTTCAAGCCACTGATCAAAGGTGGGGACATCACATGCAAAACAAAGCCT